GCAAAGAGTACGAGAAATTGGATGCATGCCCGGTATGCCATGCATCATGAGTATAAGATCAAAGTAGATGACCTCGTGATGTTGGGGTGAACGTCCATGAAGAAAATCCTCGCCAAGGTTATGTGGTATGCTCCTATAATACCACGCTTGAAACGCCTGCTCGAAAACAAAGAACATGCAAAATTGTTGCGATGGCACAAAGAAGACCGTAAGGTAGACAATATGTTGAGACACCCTGGCGATGGGTCGCAGTGGAGAGCAAATCGACGAGAAATTCCCGAGTTTGCAAATGACGCAAGAAACTTAAGGTTTGCTTTAAGTACGATGGTATCAATCCTTTTGGAGAGCGTAATAGTAGTCATAGCACTTGGCCCATTACTCTAAGTATCTACAACATTCCTTCTTGGTTATGCATGAAGCGGAAGTTCATTATGATGCTGTGCTCATCCAAGGCCCAAGCAACTTTGCAATGACATCGATGTGTACCGAGACCACTTATTGATGAACTTCTCATTTTGTGGTATAAAGAAGGTGTACGTGTGTGGGATGAGTACAAACAGGAACACTTTGATCTGCGAGCATTGTTGTTCGTAACAATCAATGATTGGCCTGCTCTAAATAATCTTCGGGAGAGATCAAACATGGATATAATGCATGCACACACCGCTTCGGTGATATTAGAGGTGTATTCTTGAAAAATGTCGAAAAGGTCGTGTACCTTGGCCATCATCGATTTCTCACCTGTAAATCACCCCGAAGAAAGAAAGGCAAGCATTTTAAAGGAAGGCGACCACCCGACCAAGCCTCCTACGCAACCGAACCGGTGAGGATATACTCGATATGGTCAATGATGTGAAAGTCGTCTTTGGAAAAGGACATGGAAGCCAACCTGTTCCGAATGACGCTAACGGTCATGCACCCATGTGGAAGAAGAAGTCCATATTTTGGGACCTACCCTATTGGCAAGTCCTAGAGGTCCGTAGCTCGATCGACGTGATGCACCTGACGAAGAATCTTTGTGTGAACCTGCTAGGCTTCATGGGTGTGTATGGAAAGCCTAAGGACACATTTGAAGCTCAACAGGACCTGCGTTGTTTGAGAGAAAGAGACAACCTGCATCTAGAGAAGACAGATGATGGACACCAATACTTATGTCCTGCCAGCTACACTCTAAGCAAAGAGGAGAAGGAAATCATGTTTGAATGCTTAAACAACATCAAGGTACCATCTGGATTCTCCTCGAATATAAAGGGTATTATAAATGTGCCAGAGAAGAAATTCTGTAACTTAAAGTCCCATGACTGTCACGTTCTCAAGACGCAATTACTTCTAGTTGCATTAAGAGGAATTCTACCTCCAAATGTACGTCTAGCCACCGTGAAGCTATGTGCATTCCTCAATGCAATTTCTCAGAAGGCAATTGATCCAACTGATCTAGCTAAACTACAGAATGATGTGGTTCAATGTCTCGTTAGCTTTGAGTTGGTGTTCCCTCCTTCCTTCTTTGATATCATGACACACCTCCTAGTTCACCTAGTCAAGGAGATTTTCATTCTTGGTCCTGTGTTCCTACACAACATGTTCCCCTTAGAGAGATTCATGGGAGTCCTGAAGAAATATGTTCACAACCGTGCTCGCCCAGAAGGAAGCATCGCCAAGGGCTATGGAACAGAAGAGGTCATTGAGTTATGTGTTGACTTTATTCCTGACCTTGACTCGATTGGTGTTCCTAAATCGAGACATGAGGGGAGACTAAGCGGGAAGGGGACACTAGGGAGGAAAACATATATTGGTATGGATGATGATTATTTCAATAAAGCGCACTACACAGTTCTACAGAACTCCTCTTTAGTAGATCCGTATATTGAGACACACAAGGATCTCTTACGATCCGAGTTTCCAGGGAAGACTAATGCTTGGATTACGCGTAAGCACATGGAAACTTTCGGCGGTTGGTTGCGAAAAAAATGTCAAGGTGATGAGAGCATCCATGAGCAACTGTATTTATTAGCTATGCAACCATCATGGCATATCGTCACATACAAAGGGTACGAGATAAATGAGAACATATTCTACACAGTAGCCCAAGATAAAAGGAGTACCAACCAAAACAGTGGTGTCCGCATAGATACCACAGACCCGAATGGGAATAAGCAGACATATTATGGACGCATAGATGAAATATGGGAACTAGAATATGCACCTACTTTGAAGATCCCATTGTTCAAGTGCCAATGGGTCAAGGTGACCGGAGGCGGGGTAACAGTAGACAACGAGTATGGAATGACAACAGTAGACCTTAGTAATATTGGGTACAAAGATGAACCATTCGTCCTTGCCAAGGATGTGAATCAGGTGTTCTATGTCAATGATATGTCTACCAAACCAAAAAGAGGGAAAAACGATAATGACTCAACCAAAGAGCCAAAGCGCCACATAGTTCTTTCAGGAAAAAGAGTCATCGTGGGAATTGAGGACAAGTCGGACATGTCAGAAGATTATGAAAAGGATGACCAAATTCCGCTCTTCAAAATGAACAAGGACCCTAGCATCTTGGTAAATGATGAGGACACTCCATGGTTATGACGCGATCATAACCAAGGGACATACGTAAAGAAGAAGTTCACTGCTGTGCCCACTTGATGATACAGTGATTTAATGTAGTGTGTGTTTGTGTAATAATTGTGAATTCAGATGTTTATTATGTCATGTTTCAAATTAAATCAATGTTTGATTTGGTGGGATTTCTCTCTCGAAAAGTTAAATTGGGATATTGAGTGATGAAAAATTAAAATATTAACGTTAAAATGATGTGAAAACAAATTTCCTGTCCAAAACCAATAGTTTTAATAATTTTAATTAAATACTACATTTTTGCATTAACGAAATAATAAATATTAGTTACATTATGTTTTATAATTATAACAAAAAATAAAAAAGTTAGGTTATACATTTTTCCTATGTGCAATAAAGAAGAAGAAAATCCATATTTTTAACAAAATAATTTTATGCCTTTTATTTAATTTACTATGTATTTAACAAGAAAATCCATATTTCTATTAAAAAAATTTGCTCAAAACAGGCGGGAAACGAAACTGCAGGCCACCTTTACTCCCGGGTGGGAAGCCCGGGTGGGAAGCCCACCCGGGAGTAAAGGTGGGCTGCAGTTTCGTGGCCCACCAAAAAAAAACCTTTACTCCCGGTTGGTAATACGCACCGGGAGTAAAGGACCTTTACTCCCGGCTGGTGGCTGGCATCGGGAGTAAATCTCCCAGGTATATAATCGCCAGTGCCAGGCACAGATCGATCCCCTACTCTTCTTCCTCATCGAACACCGCCGCCCTTTCTCTTTTTCCTCGCGCCGCCGCCGATTCGTCTTCCCCTGTGCATCAGCCCGCCCCCGTGACACCGGAGCCCAAGCCTCGCCTCGTGCGGCCCTCCACCTCCGACGACCTCACACCGACGACCTCGTGCGGCCCGGCCTCCACCGCGCGCGCCCGTGGCCCTCCACCGCACCCGCCCGAGGTGAGAGTTCTCTCGGCTTTTGTCGTGCATGGTGAAACGGTGTCAGTGAGGACCCATGCATGGTTGGGGTCTTTTGCTGCTTGTCGTCCATAGCGGAGGAGCCATCAGCTGCTGCCGTCATCTTGGGGGCATTCCATGGTTGTCAGTTTCAACAATGGCGTCTTGGGGCAACGGCATGCCATGGCTGTGGCGAATCATTTCCTTGAAGCACGCCACGTGCAAGTCAACAGCCTTTCATCCAAGTGGATGTGGTACCTGTACGCCCAGAACCTACTCCGGCGGCCCTTGTTGTCTCCAGAAGTCACACGGTGGCAAATCTCGCGATGCCTTCCGGTGGAGCTCTAAGGCTCGGCCATCGTGGACAATGCGTTCCGGCAGTGTGGCGCAGCCCTGGTGGATGCCGAGGTCTTGTTCAAAGCAGTGGTAGATGTAGCTAGCTGAAACTTGCAACATCACGACATCACGCACCAACGACACCGCCCCGGCCCGCCTCACATCGTCATCAGCACACCGTCCCACCTCATGTCGTCGTCGTCAGCACACCGGCCACCGCGCTGACACGTATATATACGTCATTTGTATTCATATGCATGTATATATACATCGCGGAGCACCGCCGCCCTCGTT